AGCCTGCGGTTTGCATAAAATGCATTGGGGTTAAGTTTAGATGAAAGTTGGTTGGGTTTTCTTCTTTTTTGACTTAATTAAATATTTATTGTTATATTTTTAAGGTTTTTAGATTTTTTTAAAATATTTTTTTAAGCAGAAAATGTAAGTAATTCAATTTAAAATATTTTTTTTCACTAATTACTTAATTAATATTTTTTTTTTGCTTAATTTTGGTTTTAATGATCTCACTGAGTTTTCCTAAATTTTCCTAACCTTCCCAGGCAAAATAATTAGTGTGGAAATACCCCGGTACAGTGCGTGCCATGGATATGCTGACATTCTAATTGCTCGTCCCTTTGCCTTTGTCCAGCGATATTGGATATTATCACATGCACCTTTGGCCTGGCTTTACCTTTTCTTCCTTTTTCTATTTTTATTTTTGCCAACGAAACTTAACTGCAATTTGGAGTGAGCGGAGGGGGGTTTCAGTTTTCCGCTAGCGCTTTTCCTTTTCCACTTTGGTGAACGGGACGGTGCTTATGCAAAGTATATTGTTGCTCATTATCTTCACAAGGATTAACATGTTATCCTTAGCACGCGCGGCCGCTTCACATTGCGCTTGGCTATGGTCTTGGGTTTTCCCATTTCCTCCATTTTCCTGGCATTTTCTTCGCCGCCTTTTGTTTCTCTGTGCAGTGTGTTGTGTGTGTTCCTGTTGATTTTTGCATGTCGCCCGCTTTGGTTTCTGTTCTGGTCTCTTTTTTTTTTTTTTTTTCTGTTTTTCACTGGCTTTCAGTTGTTTTTCTTTGTTTTTTTTTTTTGAGAATTTTCCAGCGCTAAGTACAAGCCTCTACTGGCAGCTTTTGGGCGCCTTGTGCGTAAGAAGAATTATTACCACATTTTTCCTTTTTTTCGCTGCGAAGGAGTGGGATTTGCACGTTGGCTTTGGCTTGCTTAACCATCCGGTTATGCTCCACGCTCCATGCTTAACGCTCCTTGCCAGGATCCAGCCAGGGATCCGCCGCCAGATGCCAGGATCTGGAGTTTGATACCGGGATTGTGTTGTGTCCTCTAGCTGGCGTATTGCTTACAAATTGTGCGTCGTCTTTTGCCCCCCCCCCAAAAAAAAAAAAGAGCCGCCGGCAATATTTTCTGATGCAATTTCAGCCTTTGATGTCGCTCATACGCCGTGTTGCACGTGGCCCTCGAGGATGTTGTTGACTTCAACATCTACTTTTCCTTTTACTTTTTTTGTTTATGTCTTCTTTGTATCGTTTTCGGTTTCTTTTTCGGTCTTTTTCTTATTTTTATTTATTTTGTTGTTCTTTTTTGTTATTAGCTAAGCTTTTCTGCAGTGCATAATGTACATTAAGTATTATTTGTAGACTTTTGTTTAAGAATTAATAGGGTTTTTTGGCTAAATAATTTGTTAATACATTTATTAGTAGAGCATTTAGCAGACTAGAATTTAAATTTAAATGTTAAATAAGCAAGAGCTTATTTGTCTAGAAAGACTGGCTGTAAGATTTAACATACATATGTAATATATATTTTCAAATATTTATGTGGCTAAGAAATTATATTAAATATTTTATTAAATATTTTATCAATGTATATATTATTATTATATTATTATATTTATATTTATATATTTATTTATTTCGTCAACGGAGGGAGTCCTTAACTGGCTACTTAAATACTTAAATTAATAATATTTATTTATTTATTTAATGCTAACTAATAGTTATAAACTAAAAGTTAACAAAGGTTAATGAGCAATGGCTACCGAGGCCTTCCGCTCTTAAATTAATAATAATTTATGGCTTAATTATAAAATATATTATTTTATATTTCAATAGTTTTTTAGGTTTTTTAGTTTTTTTTATTTGTATTTTGTTTTTTAATTTAATTGAATTTAATTTTAAATTTCAATACGATAATAAGAATAACTTTATTTTTATTTTAAATGTCCAAAAAGTATGCAGAAAACTTCAGTTAAAAAAAAAACGGACTATGTATTTTGTTTTAAAATAAGATAAATGCTAACATTTTATAAAATTCGAATTTAAAATTTTTATAAATATTATCTACAGTTTATTTAATGATTTAAAAAGAAAACATAAAAGAATATATATATTTTATATATTGATTAAAAAAAAAAACATTTATATTGTTCTACCAGCTGCTTCAAATTATTTAAAAGAAACATATCTTTATACTTTTTGTTTTAATTTTGAGCACAAAACTAAGAGTTCTATAATACCCCTATAACATTTACAGGGTATCAGCATTTCTCAAATGGTTTTTAATTCTTTTTTGTACGGGGTTAAGCGCCCCTTGGCTTTTGGCTTAACGTGTTTACCTTTGCCATCCGACACCCACGACGAGGATCCTTTCTATACCTCCCACCCCCCCCCGCCGTATCCTGCTACCAATTGCTGTTCCGTTATCCCCTCTCCCCATCCCCAACTCTCTACTCCTCAACCAGGCTTTGTTTTTCGACTTGAATTATACGCTTTTTTTCCAGCTGGACTGAATTCTTTTTCCGGGTTTTCTCTTTTTTTTTTTTTTTAATGTTTTTTGGGTTATACCTTGACAAAGAACTCTACCGCTGCTGCTGCTGCTGATACAATTGCAGAGGTAACAACAAAATAATAAAACCGAGGGGGGATTGGGGGAGTAGAAAAAAATAGGGGAAAATGGGAAAAGAGGGGAAAACGGGGAGAGAAAGAGAGAGCCAGGAAAATAACACAAAGCGTTGGGATTGATTGAATTCCGAATTTTTAAGCATTTCGCCGCAGTCCAAAAATTTTCGTTAGTCAAACTGCAGGAGCGAGTGCATGGAACCGAAAACTGCTCAAAAAAAACAAAAAAAAAAGAGAAAGAAATTAAAAAAGAAAAGAAATATAAGTAAAATAAAACAACAACAAAAAAGAAATAAAAATAAAATAAAACAAAAATGGCAGCATAGAGTTCAAGAAACTGGGGAAAATTTTTATATATTTCAGGTAGTTATACTTTTTTTAGTTAAAGGGAAATTTAAGTTAAAGTCGTGGAAAATTCTGTAATGATTCCAGCGATCAAAATACAAATTTAAAACCATTTAAGCATTAAAAAAAGGGAAATTTGTAAAAAGGAATTAAATGTAAATATAAACCCATTTCAAGAAATTAAAAAATAGAATAGACAGCAAAATGGCTACTAAAAAAATTAAAATTAAATTATAAAAAAATTAAATTATAAAAAAAATTAAATCATGAAAAAGTTAAATTAACAAGAAATTTAATTATAAAGAAATTAACTTAACAAGGAAATTAGGCAAGCAGAAAATTAAATCTATTTTCTTGAAAAAAGAAAAACACTTGAAAAATGTCCCAGTAAACAACTTTACCTTTTCTCCTCTTGGCTTTTCCTCTCATGGAAACCTCTTGAAAAATGATTCATCTTCTTCGATGGTTCCTCAACAATTGCTAAAACCGTTATCCTTCTCCTCCCTTTCTTTTCAGTGTCCTGGCCAGCAAAGAGTTCCAGGTAATTGAATAAACGATCCTTGGTCCCAAAAGTCTACGTGGGGTGAGTACACTCTTACGTTGTATATATACTCGAATTCCGACTCTTGACCAAGTCCAAGGCACTATCGGTTTTCATAGACAACAAAAGGCTTGAAATCTAAACAAAAAGACACTGTCAGAAAAATATTACAAGTAAAATGAAACAAATATTAAATAAATGTAGGAATTTCTTGTAGTGTCTAGAATTTTGAAGACAAACAAAAGCCTGACTATACAGTATCTCTATTGTCTAGTCTTTATTTTTCGGTTTTTGTTTTATTTTTTTTAAGGCAGTTACACAGTGGGAAAGTTACTCCTACACACTGCTAAAATAAAAATGAAGATCTTGTGTGCATATTGAATTAAGCGACAAGTGCTAGTGCAAGTTTGAGGCTTTTTAAACTGTTTTTGCGTGTGAGAGTCCTGCCTGGGAGGGCCATTATTTTGTTATAACAATGGCGAAACTTTTCTCCTTCTTTCCACCCAGTTTTTCCAACCATTTTTCCAACCCAAGCCTCAAGTGCACCAAAGAACACTTAACACAATCAATACACACACGCCTAGCACACTTGGGGTTGTGGTTGGGGGGGGGTTGTGGAAATGAGTTAATGGAAATTCTTAGCAAGTATTGTGATTTGACAGCTGCGTGTAAACTTGGTAACAAAAGGGGAGATACACTGGGAGAAAATTGAGCACAAAGAGGTACTTTTGAGCAGGGATATAAGAGTTATAAGTAAAATAAAAGTTATTATAAAAAAATGGAGCTGGAAAGATGAAAAAATGAAAATAAAAATTATTCTTAAATTTTTACTTCTTAAAATTAGTTTTTTTTTTATATATAAAAATTATAAAATTATATTATTCAGTAACTTTTTTATACAAATTGAATAATAAGAAGAGTTTTTAAAAATAAATTCAACTTTTATAACAAGTTTTTATTTTTTAATTTCGTTTTAACACTTACTTTTAAATTTTAATAAAAAAAAAGTATAGAATAATTATTATTTTTTATAAAAAAGTTAATTATAACTGTTATTTTCTATTTTTAAAATTATAATAATTGAAAATAAAAATGATTCTTTAAAGTTTATTTCTTAAAATAAGTTTCTTTTTTATGAAAATTAAAAAAAACATGTTTTAAATTTTTTATAAAAGTTAAAAAATTAAATTTAATTATTTTATTTAATTTTCTAACTTTTAGAAAAAATTTTAAGAATTTTTTTGTTTAATTTTTATAAAAAAGAAATAAATTTAAAAAAGTAAAAATTTAAGAAAAGACACAAGTATAACCTACTTTGAAAAATTTTGGAAAATTACCAAAACTTTACAAATTAAATAAAAAAAATAAAAAAACAAAGTAACCTTTGAGTTTATAGCTTTTATTCTATGACATCTTGTCAAATCCGAGTCTAATTCATTCAACTTCAGCCTTCAAAGCAAGAAAAATATATTTAAACAAAAAAAAAAATGAATTATCCTCGATCCTATCGCGGTTCCAGTGAGCACAAGCTCTCTCCCGTACAATTTGTACCCCTCTCCGATTCGCGTAATGTAACCCAAGAGCAGCTCAATCTCTTCCAACGGATTATTGGTGCCTGTACGAGTCCCTCGAAGGAGTGCCGAGAGAGGGGTCACCAGTTACTTTCCCAGGATCCACGCATCCAGGAAGTGATGCCCCTCCTAACGCCCTTCATTTACAAATCCATGTGCATCAATATTGCCGAGGAGAAGCTAAAGTTTCTCATCTTCATCATGCGCATGATTAGCGCCTTGCTGAGCCATCCAACTTTGAATCTGGACAGATATATACATCTTTTGATACCTGGTCCTGTGGCCTGCCTTCTGGCTGATCAAATTTCACGAAATCCCGGAGCCGATGATCATTGGGCCGTTCGGATGTTTGCCAATATCATTGTTTCAAATATTGTGGAACGCTATAAATGCACCGAGTCCACGGTTATTGAGAGCTATACGAAGGCCTTGGAGGATGAGGATAAACCATTGGCCACTCTGTTTGGTGCTGTCATCGGTTTGGGCAAGATGGGCAGCCATGCCATACGGCAGTGGCTGTTCCCCAAGGTGGAGTACATAGCAGGACGCATTGAGCCTTACCTCAAACCGGACATGGAGATGTCGAGCGTTGGCCTAAACACTGTGGCGGCCATGAACATATGCGATGAGCTGGTACACATTTGTGGGCCAGTTTTGGCAGAGTACAAGCCAACTGAGGATGAAATACTCATAGGTGCCTTTGCCTTTCTGGGATTAACGGAGGAGCAGCACTCTGAATGAAGCCTGAAAATAATATTTAAAACAATTTTTGTTAAGGATTTTCTACTACCTAACTTTTTCTTTAATATATTTGTAAGCCTTGGTAACAATTTCTGAGTTTGTTGTTTGATTTTTAGAATTTATTTCTTATTTATCTTCTTCTGGCTACCAATTTTCCTTAGTGTTTTTTTTTGTAAAAAGAGTTCTAGGACTGGGAAAAGGAGGGTCTGGGGTCTGGGGTCTTGAGAGCTGTTAAAGCATCGACTAACACGGCCCCCAAAAACTGACAGTTTTAAAGGAGCTGAGCTGGGTTTCCCACTTCTTCCTTCTCCTTCAAGGAAAACCCACCAGGCCACAGTTTTTCTTTTGTGCTGGGGAAAAACTTCAGTTTCCGACTTGAAAAAGAGCAAGTTTCTAGGGTGGGGCAATCCCTTGTGCCTTCGAGATTTTGGTTTGTCTAATAAAAACGAAACCAATACACAAACGCATGTTTTTTTTCTATAATATATTTATCAAGCTTTTTAAATTTCATTTTTAAAGGCTTTAAAAATTTTAGTATCCTTGAAAAATCTAACAAAAATCTTCTTTACTTTCTGTATATATAAATTAAATATATACAAGTCCTTCTTCTTTTTTTGTTTGGTTTGTTTTATTATCCTGCACTTGACTGATTGATGCATAAATTCCCCGTTGTGCCATATACTTTGTGTATATCCCATCTCGATCCAGTTTATACCATCATCATCATCCTTGTGGCGTCCTGTGTGTGTGTCCTGTGTGCTTGTCCTGTGCCTGTCTCCATAGGCTTTCCGTTGGCTTGATTAATGATTCCAGAATGGAATCGGTGGGCCATAAAAGTCGCCACAGGATAAATGCAGTGCCACTCAATTAGAGGCGTTTGTACGAAATGTATTTATCTAAATTATCCTGGGAATTATCCTCCATCACTTTCCCTCTTGCTTTTCCCCTTTTTAAGGCGAAATTATATGGCTGCAAGTTGTACTTATTGTTATTGTTATTTTTATTATTATTATTGGAGTTGTCCTTTTGTCACTTGCTAAAGGAAAATGCGCGTCTTTTATGACTTCCGGTTTGGAGGCTAAAATGACGCCGAGGGGAGACGCAGGATGCAGGATGCAGGACTGCAGCAGCAGCAGCAGCAGCGCTTGACTCCTCGCTTGAGTGCGCTTGAACCCCCGAAAATCCTCCCACATTGTCTGCTTTTCTCGGGCAGCTGCCATCATCCTTGCGTTTTGTTTGCGAAAACCCCCACCCAGAGACAAGAATTGTAATGAAAAGCACCATAAACTGTCAGTTTAAATATGAAAGACGTCGTCTGTCCTTGGACAAGTCTCGCTGAATTATACCCAGGACCTTGGAAACAAGAGGTGTTGGGTCTCTGAAATTATAGTTCAAAATAAGTATATATTAAGGAGACTTTTTGATATTTAAGGATAAGGGTTTTAATATTATTATTTTAAAGGAGAAGAATTTTAAAAAAATTTAAGATATTTTAAGAAGACTTCTTAATAATTCAGAAAACGCAATAAAATATTTTTTTTAAAGATATTTTTCCTTTTTTATTTTCAACTTTAAACCTTAAAAGGACCTCCTTAAAGCTCCCCTAAGACTTAATATTGATCTCAAAATTATAACCAAAAATTAAGATATAATTTTAAAGATTTTTCCCTTTTTATTTTCAACTTTAAAAAGGACTTTCCTTAAAAGGACTTTTCTTAAAAAAAAAAAAAAGCTCGAATGTCAGACACGCTAAGTAAATAGCCAGGATGACAGAACCGGGGACAATGCCAGTCACTCCAGTGTCGTCTTTAAGGAGTAGAAACGCGAGTGACTGACTTGGAAAGAGAACTAGAATCGCAGTTGCAGTCAGTCAGTAGTGTTCCCGCGTCAAGTGCCGTGCATTGAAAGGAGCAACTGCAGCTGGGCTTGCAACGCTGCGTATACGTAATGCCAGGACACTGCTCTGCTGCGCTGTGCCTTTGTGTGCAAACTTGTCGCTACTTAGCGGCTGCTCTGGGGAAAAATCCCAATCCCCAAAACTCCTACCCTTCGTCACCGAACACAATGTGCTGCTGCCGGGGGAAATCATTTTGGGGTCACTCGTCGTGGCAAAGTCTCTTTTCACCGGCAAAAGAACAATGAGTTCACGTTGAGTCGAGTCTTTGCTGTGAAGTGAATCCATAATGAATGCACTCACTCGACTGAAACTGAGGTGTATGTGTGGTGTGTGTGTGGTGTGTGTGTGTGTGCTTAACCCTTTTTCCTAAGCCGACTTTCTTAGGGAGTTAAGTCGTTAAATTCCAGGGAGAACGATTAATTAAATGGGGGAAATAAATAGAGGCACTTAAGGGGAATTTATTTTCAAAAAGGAAGAAATTAAGGCATTAATTAGAAATAAGAAATATATAAAAATAATAGGAATAATAACAATAATAATAACCTACCCTATGAATCTATTTCAAGTCACACTCTCTGCCTGGCAAATTGCTTTCGTTAGGGGCCACGGAAATCCCTGGCTAGTGTCCTGGGTCTGCATCACACACAGTCGCAGTCTGTCGCAGTTTTGCAACATAAAAGTCACATAAAATGCAATATAATAACAATAACAATAACAATAACAGTGATAACAAGGCAACAGGATGTAGATGTGGCTGTAGTTGGGGCTATGCCGAGTCGAAATAATTAAATGGGAGCGGAGCTCTTTCCCTCGTTAAACAACTAAAAATGCTAAACAAAACAAGCAGAAAATTCAGAAATGAAAATGTTACAAAAGTTGCCAACACAAAATATATACACATATATTTTGAAAACTGCAATTATAATTATCCAAATGATTGCAGATGCAATTGTGCAACAACTCATTTTTATTATATACATACTTTATTTTATAATTCCAAACTTGCTAATGAGCTTTGTGAATTATAAAGTATTTTTATGTGTAATTTACTTAGTCAGGGGATTTATTGGATTATTTAAATGTTATTTCATTTGGAATTAATAACGATTTAAGTGTTTATTATGATAAACGTAGGAGACTTTAGAAGTTAAATATGACAATCTTTATTTTATATATATTAATCTAAAATAAAATATTTGTCTTGATTGATAATTTTGTAACGAAAAACGTTAAACACGTATTAAAACGAAGAAATCAAATTCTAATAGACATTTTGCAACACTAAAAACAAATGTTGTAAAACAAATTTTGTTTTTTTAAGTGTTTTAAATAATAAATATCAGATGGTTTATATTATTTTATAACAAATATCATCAAAAATTTATTAAAACGTAGGAATAAAATATATAAAATAAGACATAAACACTTTTACAACACTTATAATATTTTTTCTTAAACCAATATTGCTTTTTCAAGTTAAGAAACTTTAAGGTATTCATCTACTCTTCATTACCTTGGTAGAAAGTATATTTTACCTGATTATTTTACAACCCTGCTGCTAATAGAAAATGCAACACTGTTTGGCCAACGCCTTTTGCAACACTGGCGAGAGAGGGGGGATTTTAATAGCTTGCCATTTCTTTTCACTTGAGCTTGCAGCACTTAAGTGTCTAAATTGAAATGTATTAGTCTGCTTCGAGAGTGTGACTTTGTTGCAGGAAACACACACACAAAACTACAAAATACACACCATACTCATGTGTTGGCTTGTTATTTTTTTCTTCTTTTTTTTTGTTGGCCATAAATCTCGACGCCTCAGCTCATTTGAAGCCGTAAATGTTCGAAAAGCGACAGCAATTAAAAATGGCAAACACCGAAGGAGCATAAAAATGCATTGCTGTGTAAGCTCCCACCCGCTTGCCATTGCCTGCATCCTTTCTAAGACCACTTAACAGTTCCTTAAGGACCCCGGGCATCGGCAACAAAGTTGCCCCCAAATGCCAGTCGTAAAATGAGATTTACGCGACATGGTCTAGCAGATGACATAATACTATATATACACCGGGGAGTGTGGCGAGCCATTCAAAAGTGCAAGAGGACAAATGAAAATGAGAGCAAATAATCGGTTAGAGAGGTCCTTAGGGGGTTTGAAAAATACCAGGAATAATTTTTAAATATTTATTTATTTTTTTTATATATTTATTTCCTAAAAATGCAAGTATCTTTTATAAAATTAGCCGTAGACTACGTAATTTTATAATTGTTTAAAAAGTATTAGAGAGTTGTAGTTTAAGGATAGTTTTTTATAATTTTTTTTAAATTTTAGATTCCATTGTATAAATTCCAAAAAATTTTAATAATAATCTAGGAATTTTTCAAGCACAAAAATCGTTGAAATAATAACCAAATATTTATTTATTTATTAATTTTTATTTCTTAAAAATGCTAGTAAAGCTGATAAAACTAATACTTATACGTAATTTTAAATTTAAGTACAATATTAATTTAAAAAATATTTTTTTTGTTATTTTTTATTTTATTTATTATTCTTTATTAATTCTAATTAAAGAATTTTTTAAACACAAAAATCCCTAAAAAAAATAACCTAACAACAAAATTTTTTATTTCTTAAAGATGCTAGAAAAGTTTATAAATTTAAAACTGACATGGAATGTAGTAGTACGTAATTTTAAATTTAGGTACAAAATATTAGTCTCATTTCAAAAATATTTTTAAAATTTTAGATTACATTTAATAAATTCCAAAAAATATATTAATTAAAATCTAGAAATTTTTGCAAGCTCAATTTATGGAATGCATTTTTCATAATTAATCGATGTGCCATTTATAATTACATCTCTACGTTGCGTATACTTGATATTCAAAGCTCTCTCTCTCTCTCTCTCTCTCTCTCCCTCACCTGGGCAGCCATTTTTGCCCTGCTGTTGGAGCATATTAATCAGTTTTTGCGAGGGAAATTGCATTTGTTTACTTAGTTTTAAGTAGCTGCATTAATAGGGCAACCGCAGGACTAGCAGCACAACTGGGAGGATCAGGACCTGCTGGGAAAAATCTCTCCCGCAAGCAAAAGCGATTAAAATTC